TAACTCAACTACCTTGAGCTACTGGCAAGTCCATGTGACGCTAAACATCCGTCGTAGAGAGCGCAATCATTACAGTTCAGTTTGCACCGTAATGCTAAAGCTGGTTATCGCTGGAGTTATATGGCGTAAAAACTTTTGATATCAACTAATACATGATACGAGTTTAATTTCGTAGATAATCCTGATAAAGTTGGCAGAATTAGATACCAGCATATAACTTGTGAATTCTCAATGGTCCCTTTAGAACTACCGGTACCTACTCCATAAGATGGTCTTTGTTTAGCCATAAGATAAAGCCTTGAGCTACTAAGAAGCCATGTTAGAAGTAGGTCGGTCATGTACTTGCACTGCATGTACCCCACAGGTCAACATGTGGGGGCTGTAGACGTAAGGGGGGAGTAGGTTTGGCTAACGACCAACGGGTTTCCCAAGCATGTAGCCTACTGCTCGGTGCGTGGCAACAGCCGCTCTAGTGATGTCTGGTATGTTCTACGTCAGTCTATCTTAAACTTCTACAGCATTCAGAATGTAATAATGGACTTGCATCGTCTGGTATGTTATACGTCAGTCTTTCTGAATCTTTTACTCCATAATACCGGATTCGAGATGTCACAATGAACATGTGACCCCTCAACAAAAACAAAAAAAAAAAAATAATAATATGTATATTTGTGTAGAATGAAATTTTAACATTCCTAGCACTAAACCATGAACCTCCTTGATTTATTGGTTTATTACCCTTAGGAGGTAATATACTCATCTATGTACTACTTAGTTTCCGATTTGTCGATAAATAATGTAGGTATCTGAATCGTAAATTAAGCGTAATCCGAATTCGTACAATTAAATGAATTGATGGATATTTACTATGGAATGTGCATTTCTGCGCTCCTTGGCATATGCGGAGCACATGATTCCACTGTTACCAGACCAATATAAGTTCTCAATTCCTTGTAATTTTGATTTTAAATAATACGATTGCCCTGATACCGACGGCTAACCAAGGCGTTCTCAGTCTGCTCAATCTGTTTTGAAAGCCGATGTCTTTAGATTCGTGTAATATATTCTTACCTTCCACACAAACTACGAAGACGTGATGCGGGGGCACGCACTGCCTACGTGGCAGCAACAGTAAAGGGCCCTTGCCATGCACACTGCACAGTTCGGTCATTCACGAGATTGTGCGTGGCCTCGATATGGAGATCATGTCCACTTTATTCTGTCTTGTATGTTTAGATGGAGACATTGAAGATCCACAAATGGAGTCAGGTAGCTGTGTTGTACTTGTAATTTACTCACCAAACTAGAAACAAGTTCTAATTATTGCTCCTTTTTATGTATAACCAGGATAAGTCTTATGCAGAATGCTTTTTAGTTTAAAGGGAGTATTTTAAAGGTATTCATTGCAGCTGCTGTAAGTTAGAAGTCAGAATTTCATCGGAAGTAAAGAGTGCAAATTTTCGTTCAACTTGAAAAGGTCAACTGAAAACTACTTATGCTAACATGGAAGGTTCAACCAACAATTGTCTATGTAAAGCGTAAAGCAGCTTGCCGCTACACAGCATATTCGGCTAACAGGAATGCGCTAAACTACTTGCTGCTGCTAGGCTTAAGATGAGACGGACTCACAGAAGTGTCGTACACGGGAGACAGAATCATCGTAGACGGACTGACAGGAATGTTGTTGACGGGCGACAGACCGAGCGTCGCCAGGCGCCGCCGTCGTGCTCGGATATGGCGTCGCTGGCGCCACAGATGCGCGCGTTGCCTCCGCATTCCTACGGAGCGGCCGCATCTTTGCGCAAGATTGCGTACCGCGGCGCTTCCCTGAACGGGTTATAATTTGTCCCCTGGTCTACCATTTATAAATGTATTACAGTTAACTAAATTTTATCGTTAGTGGTTCCTCTGATTGGTTACTAGGAAATCTACTTAAATCTAGAATCATGTGAAGCTTTGCTCTATCGATGCCATCGGATATTCGTTTCCAGCATTCGGCATAGTTTGTCCCGCTCAACGGGAGACCAAATTCCACTCCGCTGGACTGTAAGTATCTAACCCACCGAACTCTTAGTACCCAGACTATGGGTCACCATGCAACTAGACTATCGAACACTCCGTGTCCAAACCACGTGACACACCGTATTCATACTATCGGACACTCCATATCCATATTATCGGACACACCGGATCCATATTATCAGACACCCTATATTAAAGTCGCCGCAAGTACAAATTCCAGCATACTGCGGTGAGGACCAATACTACTTTAAACTAGATTTCCTGATCAGCGGACGTCGGTCGTGCAATTTCAAGTCAGCCAGCCCTCATGGCCGGAGCTCGTGCGTAATTTTGCCGGAATTTGAATGCGGCGTGCAGGTCGTGGTGCAGGTCACCAATCCGCTACGGCAGAACTACGGACGCTGTCTGTTGCCTTAAAGTCTGGTTGTGCTATTGTAACAGTCAGTGCTCGCATGCAGGTCATATTTACCTGCTGCAATCTTTATATAGGTTGCTTCAATTATAGCTTATGTCCTGTTGTTATTTGGAAAGGCGAACTAAGTTGCTCCGCATGTCATCATCTTTTCCTTCGCTGCAGGTACGCATTGCACGCTGCCGCTGTGTAGGCCCTTTTGTTTTGTTTCTAATTGACACTGAAAAGCTTTAGGAGTTTTGTTGTTTCTTTTATTCATTATTTATAGAGTAGGTTAGTTGAGAACAGAGAGAACCTTTTGTTGTGTGCTTACAAGGTCTTTGGTTCTGAAACATTGATGGCTTAAAAAGCACGCAGCAACGCTGCGCCTCAACGCTGATCTCTCGCTTTCACTCATTTTGTCTTCGTTTCAAAGAATTCGTTTAAAAAAAAGAATAGATACAAAGAATGGTCAATGCATGTGAAATATCAACCGTTCCATTATATTTCACACAGGAAATTACAATTTGGAGAAGCTATTGACAGTGAGACTTGCTAATTCTTGTTTTGAATCGAGTTAAACAAGCTGTAATTACCTCATTTTTACAACAATGATCGCCTCTGATTTTGTTTTTAATAACGGAAATTAAAATATAATTAATGGATTAATAGTAACAAGTAACGTGTTAATTGGAAAGCAATAAGGAAATTCATCAAGCGTACTTTGAGCCAAGTGAAGTCTGGATTTAACTCAGTCATGCGTAAGATTGTCGACGGAAAAACTTCGAGTTTGGATGGAGATCCGATGAAGCATTTGATTAAAGAACGATTCGGAAGAAAAAAAAACGAAACAAAAAACGGATTTTTAGAACGTCAAGAAAAATGCGGAAATGGAAATAAATTTGCTATGAACTGATGGACACTATAGATGCGAGCTCGCCGATCGTTATAGTTAAAGAACATAAACTAAGATGAAATTAGAATTTAAAAATATTCAATGGAACAAACTCTGAACAATTCCCAAACGAGGGTTCAGAAAATACTACCAGAAGTGAAACAGTCTAAAATGGATTAATTTTTATTTGATCCGCTTAAATGGGAAACAGAAATGTCGGGAGCAAAAAATTTGCCCCCAAATAAACAAAATTTCTGGCACGAAAAACATCAAAGCCGATAATCATCTTTTTGCTATCAAAGTCACGGAGATGAAAAAGAAAAGATTCAATGTACAATATACATAAGCGCACCCTGAGAAGTACCTATTGTTTCTGATTATTACTTAAGGTGATAATTGAAATATAATCATGATTTCGAATTTTATCTGATGTAATTATATTAGCTGCTCTGCTGGACGGCTAATCCACTATTTTGTCACCTCAATAATTCGCTCCATTATTCAACTTTACCGAGCCATTATTCCACTGTTGTCATTCCATCATTATAAGATCCTTGCTCTATCATTTCCTAATTCCAATGTTATCACTCTTATTTTCACTGTTATAAATCCAATATCACATCCGCATCGTATCTACTCTTGAAAGATAGGTTTATCTCTGATTATAGATAGCGCTCAATGTTAAACTCTTGTGTTCATACAGACACAGGCCACGCAGTCTGTGTTTCCTGTGTGTGTGTTAACGGACGTGCTGCTCACAACAAGGTTATTTATATTCAAGGCAAACTTTGACGTATTTGTTCTATTGCATGTTAGATCAGCAATATCAATGTCATTTCCACCCAGCAGAGTATTTCTGTATAGTATATGCTGGTCAAAGTTAACACAGAAGATGGAATTATTGATTTCGTGAGACTTTACAAGTTTCCTTTACAACAAACGTGCAACTATCGAGACCTTCCGTGTAGGTAATTTATATTTTATTTCATTTAGAATGATCGGTCCAAAGATGACTGATTGCTTGAATATTCCAATTTTATATAACTTTTCATCGAACTAACCTAGCCTTAAATGTTGCCTTTGCTGATTTTAGTAAAGTCAAACATTTTTAACAAAGATCCATCGTAATCACAAATGTAATCATAAGCGATAATATTCTTCAACTAAATCTCCTGCGTTGCTTTTCTTCGTGGTCTCCACTATAAAATTCATTTCTATTCGTCATCTATTCAGTTCATGCGAACGTCCGCGACAAAATTGCTATGGGTCAAGGCAAGAAGAGCAAGCCTCAGAATTATTTTCCCCATATTAGCAGGATTTTTCTTGTAATCTTTCACAGAGCTCGTGGGTGCGTGGATTTGCTTTATTGATCGTTACCAAAAATTGCCGATCCTGTTCGCCATTACGAAGATTAATTGTAAACAAATATCTAACATTTATTATATGTAAAGCCTAGAACTGCAACTCGATGCTCGGCAGAAACAGCTCGTTAACTGAACAAATTTTCTTCGTGGGGAGTAATTGTATATTTTTTGGCCTCAATAAGCTACTGTGCATCAGAGATAAATTGGCAGTGCAATTTTCTGCAATTTAAATTCAGCTGTGAAATAAGGCCAGATTGTGTTCAGCATTACTTCAGTTGTATTAATGTACTATGACAGTATTGTAGTGATAATATGAATGATGTTTCAGGTGACCATCACGCGGGTGACCCGAACAGCAGTCGCGCTACCCTCACATCTCAGTCTTCTCGAGGGTCTGTCAAGAGTTCTGATGCTAGGAATCAGCTCGACGAAACCGATAGTTTTGCAAGAGGCAAGGAAAACCGATCACTTTTCGCAGACCGAGGGAGTAGACCGGATCGTGTAGTCACCGAAGACCGGGCACACGAAATAAACTCTTCATTTCAGAGAAAGAAACCAGGCACTGCGATGTTGGTGACAGAACAGCCCCTCGTGTTCGGGTCTACGGCTCATCTGTACGACAATCAAGACGGCAGAGGTACCACGAGCAACTTATTATTTTGCTTTTAAATTAATGTCGATTTTCATTCCCATATCGTAAACAATTATACTGTTTCGGTGAACAATAAGTTCCGCTGGATCTGATGATATTATAAGTACCCTCACTCATCAGTGTACGTTCACCTTTTTTCAGATATTTGCTTGTAATATTAAAGTTAAGTCCAGCTGCTCTACTAAAAAGCCTTTTCCAGGCAAATTTACAATATATTTTCCTATAATATTTATTCATATATTTATTCATTCCAGAATCATTGGAGACGGAGGATCCGGCTGACAAGTACTTATTTCGAAATGATTCGACTTTGTCCGCAAACGTTGATCAATTCAGACAGTTGGATCGGCAATTTCCAAACGGGTTCCCGGATTTTAACGGACAATTCAGAACAAGCGGAGGAGACTCTGCGTTGAACGGAAAATTTAAAACGAACGGCGCTGATTTCTTTGTCAAGAATTTCGTTAAACGCAACAACGGCCATTTCGACAATTTGGGAGGTTTTGACGCCGGTTACTCCTCGGAAAAATCCCCTGAAGAAGAAGAACCGCCGTCTTGTTTCGATATCGAGACGGTACCGTCTAGCCGTGACCAGACAGAGTCGCCTGTTCATGAGGAACAGACGACAGGAATCTCTGACCAAGTGGTGGAAGAGAAGTCACTTATCCAACAGTTGGTTGAAGATGGCGTCCAGCTGACAACAGCAACCGTCATGAACGTTTACCCCTTCATTAATGAAGGTACGTGCTGAGCCTTCACAAATGTCATCCTCAATAGGCTCTTTTGATTGTATATTTAAAAAGAAAAAATTTGCAGTAGTAAAGAATAAAATTTATTTTATATTTCGCATCATTTGCGATATTTACTTGTCAAATACTGTTTATACCATATTTCATTGCAGGATGTAAATAGTGAATATCGTCTCGAACAATTTCGATGCAGAATTAAAATCATATTTACACTTCAATAAATAATTAAAATCATTACAAAGAAGTACCGCAGAGGATATAAACAATTGACGCTGACCACTCACTGACATTGCAGGCACCCTCTTCGACGTGACGCTGGAGAAGAACTCGCGTGGTCTCGGCCTGTCGCTGTGTGGAGGTCGTGAAAGTAAAGGACCACACGCGGGCCTCCTGAGGGTGAAGAAGCTCTACCCTCAGATGCCCGCGTGGCTGTGCGGCCAGTTGCGCGTGGGTGACATCATCCTCGAGGCAAACTGTACCGTCATGACAGGACTTACAAGTCACGTGAGTACGAGATAAAATGGATGAGATTAAGTAATTCATATCATCTAAATTGGATCTTGATTGGCTGACGTGAGTCGTGGTCGTGATGAATACAGGGGTATACGTGTTACGTGAGCCATTGAAGCACGAACTTGGATGATATTCATTGTCTTAACCTTTTCGCCAGTTAAATAATATTCATTGTTGGTGAGTATGTATAATTTTTATTTTAGAATTAATTGAAAATATTAATCGAAGTGTTTGTGGTATGTTTTCAATTAAGTAAATCTTCCATGATTGTTGCCGAGTGTTCCAAGTTTTATCTATTGGATTACACAAATTTAATCACAAATAGGAGCTACTCTAATTTGATTGATATTACATTAATCTTTCTCCATCGTTCAAAAGCTAAAAATACTTACCTATGTATACTTATAATTCTGAATAAAACAGAATATTATCATTATTCTATTTTATAAGTATAAAATACTTATATCTTCAGCCTAAGAGCTCAATAATTATCCAATATTTTAAATAATTCAATATTTAATAATTTCTTTTTGTTCAGGAGGCCCTGGAGGTGCTGAGAACCACTCGTACGTCTGGCGTGCACCTGCTGCTGTGCCGCCCCCCGTCTGGGGGACTCCTGGGGGACGACGACGTCCTTGCGTCCCCCACGGCCCCCACGCGTCCCCTGGAGGTGGTGAGCACCAGCCTGCTGGGGGAGCAGGGCGCCTACAGTGACCATCTGATGCCCCCGTCACCCCACTCCATGTGCGGGGTGAGAATGTCATCGGGGGTGAAATTCATGCTGATTGCTTATTAATTTGCTCTTAATTGGTTGCTGATTGTTAATTTGTTCTTCATTAGCTGCTGCATGATTGTTAATTTGTCGTTTATTGGCTGCTGATTGTTAATTTGTCGTTCATTGGCTGCTGATTGTTAATTTGTCGTTTATTGGCTGCTGATTGTTAATTTGTCTTCATAATCTTTTAATTTGATGCTGATTATTTTTAAATTACTTGTTCATTCATAAGGTGGTTGTTGCTTGCAATTTAAATTATTGTCTATTATACCAACCATTACATTTATTTTCTTCGCGTGCTTCACGTTCCTAATCTTAAGTTCCAATGTCAGTATTTCCTTTTTATATTAAAACTTCAAAGTCCCTTCATAAATTATTTCTTGCAATGTCTTTAATCATTTTAATCCCTTAACTTATTTCTGTTTTCTGATATTTTTTTAATATCACGCTTCATTATCCTGAAATTAAGATCCCAAAACTTATAATTCTAATGCATGTACCGTAGTTATTAAAATTATTTTTATTGCGTTTGCCTATTCTGCAAATCATTCACGTTTCTGCTGTTTATGTTGCAAATTATTTTTTTCCAATTTCTAATTTGTTTGCAATTTCTTACAGTGATTTATTAATTTATTTGTTACAGGAGTTCGAAGTGACGCTGGCTAAAGTGAAAGGCTCTCTGGGCTTCACGCTACGCAAGCGTGACAACAGCGTCCTCGGTCACACCATCCGCACGCTGGTCCGCGATCCTGCTCTGTCCGACGGCCGGATCAAGCCGGGGGATAAAATTCTATCCGTCAATAACCAGGACTTGTGTGGCCTCAGCCACGAGGAGGCCATAGCCTTCCTTAGGACCACGCCTGACGTCGTCACCATCAGACTTTACAGGTTAGGACCTCGGTTATGATTTGGGTTGTGTGCTTGGGTTGATTTGGGTTGAGTGTTTTGGGTTTATTTGGGTTGAGTGTTTTCGGTTGTTTTGGGTCGATTTGGGTTGAAAGAGTTATGTGTTTGAGTTGAAGAAGTTTATGTGTTTGGGTTGAACGAACTCTGACTAAAGTTATGTTTGTGAGGTATTCGATAGCCATTAACTTATTTTGCTATGTGAATCTTTGGAGAATAAATAAATTACTTTAATTAATTAATTAATTAATTAAATTAAATAAGTAAATTAATAAATTAAAATAAATAAATTCATAAAATGAATAAATGAATTTAATTGATTAATTTATTTATTTTGAAATAAATTTGGCTGTGGAATACCTTAGAAATTCAGCATAAATCATTATACAATGCGATCATTATCATAGTTACTTTATATGCATGAGTAATAACCTGAATATTTTACCATATTATTTGTTACTGTATTCACTAAAATAATATTCTTAAGGTTCTTAATATTATACAATGTTATTCATTATTCTATTCACTGAAATATCGCCTCCAGAGACGTGACGCAGACGCCCGTGTCGCCCCTCTCCCCCACCGAGCCCGACCCCAGCCCCCTGAACCCCAAGCCCCTGCGGCAGGAGGCCCGAGACATGCTGTCCGACCTGAGGAAGCGAGCCTCCCCCCACAGCGCGTCCCCAGGGCTGGACACTTCCCATTCCCCCTCCCCAGGCAACCCCCGACGGCGGCGACTGCAGAAGTCCTCTACATCTGACGTCACTAAAGCGTCTATTGTTGAGCGTGCGTGTTGTGTCGTAGCTTCTTGACTTATACTAGTGCATGAACGATCTTGTTGTGTTATATTATATATAGTGCATGAACGATCTTGTTGTATTATATTATATACTATAGGTAGTGCATGGACGAGCTTGTAGTGTTATATACTATATGTAGTGTATGAACGATCTTGTAGTGTTATATTATATACTATAGGTAGTGCATGAACGATCTTGTAGTGTTATATTATATACTATATGTAGTGTATGAACGATCTTGTAGTGTTATCTTATATACTATAGTGCATGAACGATCTTGTAGTGTTATATTATATATAGTGCATGAACGATCTTTTGATATAATGTTCTTATTGAGATGGTATACTGGTAAGGAACGACGAAGTTGTGCAATTGTGTCGTTTATTGTACGATCTTTTACTATAACAATTGATTTTTTTTATTTCAATGATCGTTATTAAGAAATGACAAAGCAGTAGCATCGTGTCTTTTTTAAGTTCAGTTTAAGTGTACGATGTAAGCTTCTTGTGTTTATCCGCAGGGTTCGACATGCTATTGGAAGGCACGGAGGAAGCGTCTCAGAATCCTCAAGTTTGTCCAGCCTTGGCAGGAGACCGCGATCTGACCAACAGAGATTCATGTGCCTCGACTTTATCCGCCAACTCCACCATAATTTCTCGCCATGCGTCGTCGGCGTCAACCGAAACCAATTCCGATGCGTCTGAAACCTTGCGACGCACTAGACCTAATTTTCTAGACCTTGAAAACCGACAAAGCTGTACCCGCAAGACCCAATTTTCTCCACCTCATGAAATAGAAGATTCTTTCCCATCCCCGAGTGATGATGACGTTAATTACGAAGAATATTTGGATTCCATAGGATCCGTAGACTCTGCTCCTGCATGTAATAATGCGCAGAGTGTATCACCATCTTTTGCGTATAGCCAGCCCGGCTACCAGTCAGTAAATTTCGGTGCTTCCAACTACCAGGATCATGGTAGAATTACTGGTACTTCATCAGACTTTACGCTAAGTAGTCACCTTAAGAACACAAGCTCCAAAGTGTGTCAAAAAAGTGGGTTGATGAAATGGAAAGGAACATATATGGGTCAAGATGAGAGTGATCAAGATGCCGATGAAGAAGAGAACGCCGCTGATTGTGGCCTTGCAAAGTCACGCAGAAAGAAGGTAGGCCTATTTTTGATACAAACTAAACGCACATTTCCATGATCATAAAGCAGTCTATCAATGCTGTTTGTGTGCGGTATTTCTATTCATTGCTAAACGGCAGATTGCTTCATTTCATTTATTTTATTTACTTAGCTTAATTTATTTTTTTTACGTAGTTTCATTTTCGTTATTGTATTGAAGTTTCTATGCACCAAATAATTACAAGAAACTTACCGTGGCAGGTTGTGACCATTGAGCTGCATCGCGGCTGGAATTCTCGTCTGGGTTTCAGCCTAAAGGCGGACGGCGAAGCTACGCGAGTAGTGGCCGTTTATGCCGGCTGTGTCGCGGCCAAAGATGGCCGCCTGAAAGTCGGCGATGAAATTATTAGTGTGAGTATTTGAATTGATCAGTTACTCATTACGCTCGACATAAGCCGCATTACGAGCCTTGAATAAAAAAATCCTTATTCCATACGAATGACCTTATATTTGTCGTAACCTTGATCATAATTTTTCTTTAGTTTTGTTAAAATCGAAACTAGGGTAAGAATTATCTCGTGGTTTGTCGGAAAGTCAATATCCTCTCTTTATTTGGAATTTAAACAAATTTATATTCGATCAATCGATATTATAAATATTGTACAGAGTTTATTTTTGTATTCATGCGTGCAGGTAAATGATGAAGATGTCACCCAGTGGTCTACGTGTGACGTCATTGATCGGCTACGTAAGACTCATGGAAAAATCGTCCTGAAAGTCCTTCAGCAACCTTTCTGAAATTCTTTCAGCAGAGTTTTCTGAAAAATTTTCAGCCGAATTTTTTGAAGTACTTCAGCAGCCTTCATGAAGGTCATTTCGTAGACATTCTGAAAAGCTTTCAGCCTACGTCATGAAACTCTAGCTGATTTTCTGAAAGTCATTCAGTCAATATTCTGAAAGTCCATCAGCAGACGTTGTCGAGGACGTTCAGCCACCTTTCTGAAAGTTCCACATCTTTAAATATTTCTCCCTGTAGCTAAATTTTATACCATATTGAAGTGATAAAAATATATTGTCCACTTTTTTCTTATATCTGAAACATGAAGGGCTCATATTCTCTTCAAAGATGGCGTGCAGCCATCAAAGCAATTATTTAATCAGCTCTTTAATACAATTTTACCAGAGTAGATGGAGGAACGTATGGTCCCATTTAAAGAAAGATGTGAAGGGGATTCAGCATACTCCCGAAATGTATTTTCTATCCACACAAGACATTGACGTTTTCGATGACAATGTTTTTGGAAATATTTTTCGCTAATTTCAAAGAAACGTTCATGATTGTGTCGTACCTGCGTTTTTTTTTGCTTAGAAAAGTGTTCCTTTTAGTGCGAGTTTTTCCTAGTGTCCCTTTAATTAAAAAGTTACGTGATGTATTCTGGTGCTTGACTGAGTATATCGTCAGACGAATTTATTTTAATTTTTAAAAATGGTATTTTATGTAACGAACTCAGTATGTAATGAACTCGGTTATATTGTAGTTGGATGACCGTGTAGAATGCATGGACGTAAATATTGCACGTAGAGTGCAAACTGGTGTATAATTACTTGCTTGAAATACAAGGAAGAACTGTAAATCCTATCAAAACTGAGGAAACCCCATGTTGAGTAAACATAGAAACCTTGCCTTCAATAATGTACTTGGTTGCTTCATCTGCTTCACTCAGGTTTTTATAATAGTGCGATAAAATTCCGACCTTGAAATAGTTTATAGTAGCGCAACCGTCTCCTCTTTCTGACACAAGAAAGAGCTCCAGTTAACGGAGCCTTGCTTCACTAGAAATAAAAAAAAGTTACAATTTTTTGTAACCTTTTATATTCCTGGCAACAAACATGAAGTAAGAAAAGGATCATATTATTATTCTAATTGTGGGGTTCTGCTCCGTCAATGTATCGGAAAATATTATGCGAATGTCAAATTATGACACAAACCATGGCTTGCAAATTTCTTCGCGAGTAATTCCCTGAACATCGTGAATAATTTGTGTGAAATACGAACATGTGTGCTAGTGCTGCGGAGATCGTTTACGTCAAAGACGCAAACCGCTCTAGCGGATTAACTACTTTGACCAAACTTATTTATTCATTCATTGTAGATCTCTTGTATATTTATGTTTTAAGTATATACTTAATTACTGGTTCTCAAATAATTGCATAATGTGTTCTTAGTTGTAGAAAAGAATACATGTATTGTTTCATAAAGATCTGTTTTTGAGCTTCGTGTTCGATTTTAGCGCTTTACGTTAAGACATTATGACACATTATTCTGTTTAATATTCATACGTGAGTGTTTCTGTGATTATGAAAATTTTGTTTTGTATTGTCTTCAAATAGACTTATTCATTTCTAACACTAAGCGGACTGTTTGACACTGGCGAGTATTTTGCACTGCAACACTCGCATTCGTCACTGGAACTGTCGTGGTAGATGTCTTGGTCTGCACAGCTTGTAATATTATGAGATGTCACAACAAGCAAACGAAAATGAAGACAATGATACGCTGAATAATAATAATCACTAAATGGAGACAATACCATGCAAGAGGGTGTTTAATTTCCGATACGTTTCTCCGCACACTTCGAATGCTTTTTGTAGCAAATTGATATACATCTGACTCAGTTTACGTCAAATATAGAAGATAGATTTTTTCGATGAATTTTGGAATGGCGAACTTTATTTTACCATCATTCGAAGGTCTTGCATGGTACTCTTTTTTTCTTGCGTACTCGTATTCTTTTGTTAAGGAATTTCAAAATAACGAAACTTTTCCTCGAAATTCTAAAACGAAATTTTCTTCCATCTTCGAAATAAACACGAAACACGAGCTTTTATTTTCTGATATGAAAATATTCTGATATAAAAAAATTAATTTTACTTTCATTCTTTGTGAATTTTGGCCTCGAAATAATTCGTTTCTATTTATATAATTGCTTAATATAATTCTCAATGACATTATTTAATTCAATATAACATATCTAGAGTCAATTTATCGACAGTCATGAGTGTAAATTGGCTTCATTTGCATTGTATTCCTACGCGTTCAGTATATTAAATTTTTCTCTTACTTCAACTCCTTGCGCGATCGGGGGTAATATTTGCTTGTAATAATTTTCAATTTTAATTAATTTGATCCCTTTTAATTTTTATCAATATGAAACAATTTGGTCTCGCACTCTACGCGTTTAAATTCAGCGCATCGGAAAAAATATCCCTCGTCGAGCAATCACAATTGCAATGCCAATTATACATGCATTAATAATTTCATTACCCATGATACGAATGAACGACGCGTGCCATTCACAAGTGACGTTGAACATTTATCATGTATTTTCATTTTCGTAGATTCCATTGCATTCTTGGACCAACTTTATTCGTGATGCTAATTCGTGGTACGAAGATTCGTTAGTAAGCGCGGACGCCGCATTGTTTCACGCTGGCAAACTTGATGTAAATATAATAATTATTATTGTAAAATTGGCCGACAAACGAGATACTATTCAGTAGATAACTTTATCGAACCCATCATTTTTCGACTTTCATTACTCTTATCTTCATTATTCATGTAGGTGATGAAACATCCTGTAGGTGCTAGATTAGTCTCTGGATGAACGCATTTATATTAAAATGGGAAGTGTATAATGTCTGGGAATTTTTCGCTTATCAAGGTAAAAAAATCTGCTTTGGTACATTGATTTCGGAGTTTTAAGGTTTATTTTTTATAAACTTAGATTACATGCTCAAAAAAATGTAGGTGGTGAAAATGTTGATGTTATTTAACAAACGCATTACTTGATGTTATGCATACATTCTTAACGTATCTAGGGACATGCTAAACTTTATGTGCAGCCTTCTAGTTGAGCTCTAGGTACCTCATACATAGTTAAGAACTAGGTGCAACATGCATAATAAGATCTATAGGTGCCACATGCATACACTAGGTGACCCGTGATACTAGTTTTAGTTCATGCTATTTTTTTCTTGTTGACTAGCGTTGTAACTTCTATGCCGAGCACCACTTGTGTTTGGGTTAAATTAAATTTTTCATAAATTTGCGAGTTTCATTTTCATTACAGATACTTATTTGTTTACCTGCAATATTCTTTTTTTCTTACACCAATGATATCATAAATCTACAAGTCCTTGAGTTTGGGTTCATCAGAAAATCGTGACAATCGCAATCGTTACGCCCGTAGTAATAATTATTAAACTTACGATGGTTGTAATAATCATTATAGATCCCTCTGCTTAAACTAAACGCCTTCGCTAAGAATTCGCTGAGTTATCAAGATTGAAGCATATATTTATTTGATGTTAATCATTTGAAGGCTTTATTCCGGTTAAATTGAATCACATCGATCAAAGATGTGAACAATCTACCGAACAACGAACGTCGCTGCGATCCTAGCACATTAAATGCGCTTGCACTTCGTTTGGAATTTTCCATTGATTGGTTCGAATTGCCCAATTAATGAGCCATGGCAAACGATTGACCATTAATTAGATTTTGTTTCGATTAAATTACTGTATAATGGAAGCGAATTTAATGCTAGAAAAAAATTCCCGTTCAGTCAATGTGTTCATCGCATTCAATGTAAATGAAAATTCTAATTACCGCAATAGATAAAAATTTATTACACAACCACGAGCCACCTGGCACGTCAAAGAATGCATGCATAATATATGAGGACTTGGTTGCGTTGACGACGTTTTTGTATCCGTGTTGCTGGTTCGATGCGCCAGGCGACTTGTCGCCCAATGCCCGGAGGGCCGTTTAAGCTGTCGCTCGCTCCTTGCCCTACTCGCTCATTGTGCTAGCCAGACCGGGGGCGGGTGCGTCGTTTTTTTCAAACTTTTGCTCAGAGCTCGGAAAAAAACCTACAGAATTTTTTTAAACTTTGCACACAGTAGTACAGATAAATTTTACAACTTTTTCTGTTGGTCTCATCTCGAAAAAAGTTTTAGAACCCCCTTAAAAAAAATAGTGAACCCCAAAAAATTCGATTTTCGACGGTTTTTCATCTCTCATCGCTAAACCGTAAACATTTTTGGTGTGCAGTGGGAAAATAAAATGTGCCCCTCGTCAAGACAAACACGCTGGTGAAAACGGATTTTGAAAAACTTGAAAACTCAAAAAGTTATGAGGTAAAGTTTTTTCCAGTTTTCACATTTTTCGTGGTTTTTCATCTCTCACGGCCAAACCGTAAACATTTTTGCCCTACAGTGAGCGACGGAAATGTGCGTCTCGTTGAGACAAACACGCTGGTGAAAACGGATTTTGAAAAACTTGAAAACTCACCAAGTTATGAGGAAAAGTTTGGTCTAGTTTTACAAACTTTTTTACTTCTCTCTTTCCAAGTCTACGGAAAAATTTTTCAATTTTTTTAACGTTCCTAATAAAATTCAAGTCTTTGCCTTTAATTTGAACCCTATTTCATGATCTTAGCTTAAATAGAACTTGATATATGATTTTTCAAAGTTACGAAGTTTTCATAAAAAGTTCGTAGAGCTCGAGGTCGGCAAACCTTTCCAAGGTGTTTACTTTTTACGTTCTCGTGTAAGCTGTGTATTTTTGAGAAACTTTCTGAAAGTTGCTTTAAATAGAGCACAAAATTCCGCTAATTACTGTGTATTTCACTTATTATTTAAAAAATTATTTCCATTAGTAATTTGATAAGAAAAAACAGACCGTAACTTCGAAAACTTCGATATTTTCACTCTCTCTAAATGATCATTTGGGATACTTATTTTCATGCTGGAGACTTCATTCTCATATGGTTATTTACTTCAGCTCATTTTCATTAATATGGAGAAAGAAAAGGTATCAAAAGTGCTTTGAAAAGTCCTTTAAATGAAGTATCAAAGTTACATTCAGCCGTCCATCAGCAGGCCGCGGCTGTGCTACGGCACGGGCCGTGTGTTTAATCTTTTGATTTTAAATGGTATTATAAGTCGGTAAGGACAATGATTGAAGAAAATCTACTTGAATAATTATTGAAATAATACTAAAATGCCCTCTGTAGGGGCCCGAGACCTCTCGGGCCCCTAAGATTTAAAATATTTTCATGGCTTACCTGTAAGTATAATTCATGAGATTAAAGAGAAGCATGAGAGCAGGAGAGCAGGAGTCGGCATTGGTCAGAGAGAAGACCCACGTTTGCCAACCACCGCCACCATGTGAGCTCTGCCCACGCTCACATGATTGAAGAAAATCTAAATATATAATAATTGAAATAAAACTAAATTGCTATCTGGGGGATAATTAAAATTTATTGAAACCTTTCGTTTGAATTATTTGAAAGATCAAAGAATTCTGTGAAGTTATGAGGTTGGCGGCAGTTGTACAGGCGGGGCCTAGTGTTCGTCCCTTAGTGCTCGTCGAGCTGCATAGGAAGGAGGTTGTGGTGCTCTCGCTGCTCGTCTGACGGTAGACGTGACTCTTGCTGCAGCGTTAGGGACACCACCTCTTGACTCGCTTGACTGACTTGACTCACTATGACTCACTTGATCCACTTAACTCACTTGACTGACTTGAGTCACTTGACTCATTTGACCCACTTGACTCACTTGACTGACTTGACTCACTTGACTGACTGGACCCACTTGTCCCAATTGACTCACTCGACTCGCTTGACTGACTTGACTCACTATGACTCACTTGACCCACTTGACTCACTTGACTGACTGACTTGACTCACTTGACTGACTTGACTCACTTGACTGACTTGACTCACTATGACTCACTTGACTCACTGTNTTTTTTCGAAATTTCGATTCCCAACCAAAAATTTTTTCTCCACTCTACCCCTATCTTGGTGATGGAAACCCATTTTGAAATGGATACAAAACGCAATTTAACTTAATTGAGGAGGAAACAACCATCGATATCGCTTCTTTGCATGCACCCTGAGATGCTGATTTCCTCGAAAGTCCACTACCGCTATACCCCTTTGAGTTATTAACGCCAGAAAACGAGTTTTTAAACACATTTTCACACATCGAAAAAATTTTAGTCATTTTTTTACAGAAATTGTCAAAAATGGCGATCATACCAATGAACTCCACACACTTCAGGGATCATTTTGATACTATATAATTTTTTCGAAATTTCGATTCCCGACGAAAAAAAATTTTCTCGGATCAAAATGTTCTCAAAACATATCGGTAATTAGCGAACACAGTATGAAACAGTACACCTTGTGGGATGAAATTAATAAGTTTTTATGTTATATCGTCATGGATGTGCATGTTTGAGGCTGGAGATCGCCTTTCCAACACGTTTACTGACTGTTGGAAAGGCGATCTCCAGCCTCAAACATGCACAAGACAATATGATAACATAATTTCTAACTTATGTTGTGTGAAACACACAGATTCTTGGGGTTAGATTCAAGCAAGGAACAAGTTCATTTCCATAGTACCACATAAGTTTATGTGGGTTAGTTAAGGTTAGGTTAGGCCAGTTTGGGTTTGGTTAGGTAAGGTTAGGTTAGGTAAGGTTAGGTTAGGTTAGGATAGGTTAGGTTAGGTTAGGTTAGGTTAGGTTAGAATAGGTTAGGTAAGGTTAGGTAAGGTTAGGTAAGGTTAGGTAAGGTGAGGTTAGGTTGGAATAGGTTAGGTAAGGTTAGATGAGGTCGGAAGAGGTTAGGTCAGGTTAGGGAAGGTTTAGTTAGGCTAGGCATGGCAAGGTTAGAATTGGATAGTTTAGGTTATATTCTAACTATGTGCTACTGGCTGCACACACACACAGGAGAGCGCCACGGTGGGGTTTTGTGTGTGTTGTTTATGGATTGTCGTGGCTAGGGAAATAAAAAAAGTGTGAGCAAGTATGGATATAAAAAAAATTGTCGCCTGTAATCTGGTTCGATGCGCGGCGCCCTGTCGCCAAAAGCCCGGAGGGCAAGTTCACATCTACGCCCCGCTCCTGTACCCAAGGCTCTATGTGAACTAGAAACGGGCCGGATTGAGCTATACTTTTGCCTTTGAACTTTAATTGCGGAAAAACTTCTCTACAGAATTTTTTTAAATTTTGCACACAGTTGGACAGATAAATTCTAAAACTTTCTGTATGAGTCTTTTTTCGCTTGAATCATCCGAACCCCCTTAAAAAAAATCGTGAACACAAAAAAATTCGCAAAAAGTCACTTTGCGGCAACGCTTATTGCTCGGAAAGTTACAAANTTTACATTTATTTGAGGAAGCCATAACAATGCGCTTACTCGCAAACAAACAAGGAATGATTAAGGAAGCTAACTTCAGCAGCAGATCCCCTCAAAGTGAAAACTTCTACCCGAACTAGACGTTCAAAGAAGATTTATTTTCATCAACATACTTACATGCATCCAGTGAAGCATTCTGTAAAAACATTTTTAGGATACGTTGAAGTAACAGCAAGGTTTTCTTATAAATACCTAAACAGATCATGGTTTATTACCTATAACATTATGATACGTGAACAGTGAAGCAAACAAGTTTATCATTATTATTTTTATTGCAATTATTGTCTGCAAGTTTCCAAAGTAAGCGACCACCACAAAATTCATGCATTCTATCGGTACCCGAGGAAGCCATTCAAGTGTCTGCAAGGTTCCAGTCTAAATGATTATCACATAATCTAAGCAGTTTACCTGCATTAGAGAAAGCCATCAAAGTGTCTGCAAGTTACCAAATGACGCTCCGTGCGAAATTTTCGCCAGCCATGAAGACGTTGACCTGCAAGTTGCCGTTGACTGCGTCATCAGGCCGAGAGGTGCTTGAGTTAAGCCGCTCTACGGGACTGACAACTCGCAACTCCGGCACTATAGGTCGTCCTCGACCAAGTTTCAGTGCCGAAAACCGCTAAAGTTTAAGCTTCACCAAGTTTCAGTGCCGGTAACCGCTGAAGTTTAAGCGAGCAAAAAGCTGCCGAAAGCACTCACGATGTTCTCACCTATACATATTATTTTTCTCACCTATACTTATTACTGTTCTCACCTATACTTATTACTGTTCTCACCTATCCTCATTATTGTTCTCACCTATCCTCATTATTGTTCTCACCTATACTTATTATTAGACGAAGCAACAACCATATGTCGCGGTTGTTCAGCGCAGTGGTACAGATGGCGGTCGTCCTCAGGCAACATGTCGACATCGTGGAAGACGATGCAGTCGAAGCGCGCTGCCTTCATCGCCTCAACGAAACCCACGTTTAATAGCTTCGCTCGATTGAACAAAGCTGAGCCTATACGAAAAAATTGAATTATAACGATGGTAGAAAAGATAATATTATGATGAAATACCAGGCTAAATAATATGCTATAGTGGAACACACCACACACACTACTACATACTACAACACATCACATACACACACCACACCACATACACCACATACACCACACCCACCACACACACCACACCACACCACACACACACCAAACCACACACACCACACACACATACCACACACATATACGTACGCATGCACAACGCACCACACACGCTGCAACACATCACACACACACACACAATCAAACAGACACCACAACGTACGCACAACGCACCACACACACTACAACACATCACACACGCACACCAAAAAACACACACACACACACCACATCGCTTGCATCTCACACACCACACACTCATCACACGAATAGCCCCGTTAACACACCTGGACCGGCATTCACATTCAGCTGTCGTACACTTGTACGACAAGAAGTTTCTGCGCGACCAAACATCATATGGCCGTGAGATCGTCTCAGCCAACATGTTACTTTTGAATATAATGCTAGTCTTAAATAAAATGTTTTTTTAATACAACGTACATTCTTTTTCGATAGAATGTTCCTTTTAAATGGAATGTTCATTTTCAATATAATGTTACTTTTAAGTAGAATGTTCTTTTCGATAGAATGCTCCTTTTGAATACAACGTTCTTTTTCAATGAAATTTTCCTTTTCAATATAATATTCATTTTCAATATTGTTGCTTTCTTTTTGTAATTCCTTATAATAATTAACCTGAATTAACCTCCTATGCGTTATGTTCAAAATTATGAAGCTCTTGACGCACGTTCACTCATGACCAGAACTAAGAACTGTTTTTCTATATTGGCTTTAAAAAATTAGATTCACGTTCTCTATTTTTGTGCCGTCGTTGCAGTTTGGTAAATCCTGTAAAATAGCATTTTTATACTTCACTATCGAAGGAGGAAAATTAGTGAGCCGATTCCTACGTATTTGCTTAAAATAAAGCCATTTGATTGAAAATAGATTAATGTGAATTTTCGACAGCCTGCGTCGCATGTAAGCTTTATTTAAATGTATTAAAGTTTGAAAGCAAATAATCTCATCATATTAGTTGATGTATTTTTAAAAATTATTAGTATCAATTTATGTCCGTCTAAATGAAATTATTTTAACTTCATCAACATCAATTAATTATTAACAAGCCCATGACTTCACTTTGAATCGACGCTCATCTTGCAAAAGAACTCATTAAAAATATTTATTTATAATAGTATTCTATATTTATATCATTATAAATAAACCATTATATCATAATGACAATAAACGAGTCTCCCACCAGCCTGTTCCACGATGAAGATGGTGTAGTTTAGCTCCTGTCGCTGCAGGAATGGATGCATGTGCGAGAGGAATGCCCATTCCTGTGAAAATACAAATTTCAGGCGAGGTATGAAACCTGCGAAAATTATATTTTCAACTATTAGCAAAAATCTTTTTATCTGAGAGCATGAAATTCCTGGAAATTGTTGAAATCCTTTCATTCGAACACATTAAAATCCCTAAGAAAGTTAAAATACTATCAATCGAGCTCCTTAAAATCCTAGAAAACGTACAAATCCTTTTATTCCAACATATTAAAATCCTAGAAAGTCTGAAAATCCCTTCTTCCAAACACGTAAAAATCCTTGGGAATGTGAAAATCCTTATATCCTAACCTGGTCCCGCCTGTCCCTGACGGGGACCACGATGGCGACGGTGTAGCGGGCCCAGCAGTGGGACGGGGCCCAGCGCCCCCCCTCCTGAACACCCGACCCCCGCGCCACCTCCTCAGCCTGCTGCGGGCTGGACATAAGACCGACCACCTCGCGCCCGCCTGAACCCGGTGAGAAATTTGCTCTCAATTAAACTGATAGCAAATAATTATTAATAATATAATATGTATTATATATTATATATTATATATTATTTATTATATATTATATATTATATATATAATCACTGAAGAATAATAGGTTATTTGATAAATGATTGAATAGAGCGAATTTGCTCTCGATTGTCGTGAGACAGGTAATTATATTTTATATATTAATTATAATATATTTAATCATTGAAGAATGTTAGGTTATTTGATAAAAGGTTGAATAGAACAAATTTGCTCTCAATTGACTTGATAGAAAATATTGATAAACAGTGTATTATATATTAATTAAAATATATTACATCGTTGAAAAATGTTTGATTATTTGATAATAGGAATTTTATTGCATAGCGTGTTATAAAAAACATGAAGAAAATATTAGGTTATTACACAAAAGATATTGTAATTAGATACTAGATTATTGCAAAATTTTTAGCTTATTAGATATTAGCTGTTATTAATTGTTAGATATTAGAATTTTTAAAAATCATTTTACTAGATGGTATGTAACTTAGAGAGATGAAATAATTTCTTGGTACATAGAAAAAAGGGTAAAAAAATTTGATCGAGTTAATTAAAATGTGTAAATTTAATACTATAATTATAAATAGATTTATTTGATAATTGAATTTATTTGCTTAATTATTAGTTGATTAGAATTATAAAATTTCTCCCATTATTATTATACAAAAAAAGTTTCAACTCACGCAGACCAGGCGGCTGGGCGGGACACGGTGGTAAACAGGTGCTATTTTTTTCGGTCGATTTTTCTTCGCGCTTTGACCGCAAGACAGATGTTGATAAAGGATTTTTTAAAGAGTTGATCCTCAAAACATTGTTTGGTTCCTTATTAGTTCCAAAGTTAGTATTTTCGCCTGATATATCAGCGCCTTCATACTCTTTGTTATCTCCGTAATTTTTGATATCATGAAGGCTCCGTTCTTTAATTAACTCTTCACCTTTTTGCAAGGCATTTTCTTTAACGAAACCTTCAATTTCCTTGAAACCATTATGCATCCTCAGATTTTGAGGCAAGCGCGTACGTCGGCCATGGAAATATTTTCTTGAGAACTCCTGATCGAAGGTGACAACATTACCATCATCGTCAATGAGAGGATCGTTCTTACGCTGAACTTTACGAAACTCGGAGTCAAACTTTGACCCCGAAAACCTGGTTTCTGGGGTTGGCATATTAATTTTCAAGTTATGGATATCAGTGCTCATTAAAGTTTGCTTCGGATCCTCATCTTGGTCGGATGGGAAATAATCTTTACTCCTGTTTTCTTCAAGTTCTTCTTCAACTTTTTTCTCGTCATTTTCTCTTTGTCTCAGGGTTTCACGAAGTCCAGGAGGCAAATTCTTGAGATCTGAGTAATCGAAAATGGCCCCGGGCTCAAGAATGGGCGAATACAAATAAACTGTATCGTTTTGTGTAGAAATTATCAGGAGTGTCGTGAAGCAAATGCTGGTGATTAATAAAGTAATTTTATTTCGTAAAAGCCAACGCAAGACTTTATGCCAGTCACGCTGATGAATTCTGTGAGACCTCACCGTGTAGGCTTTCAAAGGCCGGGGACATCGCTTCATCAGCTCAACCATAATATAGAATATAAAAAAACTAAATCTAGATTCATGAAAACATGTACAATTTTATTTTAAATAACACTTGTTCGTAACAAGTTATTGCTATTCTAATGGATTATTAATTTTTTTTGGAGGAGAAGGAATCACTGGGGAAATATGCAATAAAATGTATTAATTTTATATATGATTGACTGCCTGTTTAACTATCAAATTTTTTGATGAAGCTACTTGCTGAAGTCGCAACTATTCAATTTTTAATTTAATTACCTGATCTTTTATTTATCCTAATTTCGTTTAATCTTGGGGTTGAAGTTCTCCATAAATTTATGCAATCATTGATCTGGTATCTAAAATGTGATCTAGGTTTGATTGAACGATTTCATAAAGTGTAGAAAGTTTTGCCATTTATTACGCTATTTAAGCAGCCAAGCATGTATAATAGCCAGGCGACACGTGAGCTGCGTACTGGAACGGGCGTTGAACGTTGCCGTACGGTTGTGCTTAATTTTTTACGAAAAACAAAATGTGACAGTAATGAATCTTCTTCAAATGTGACGTACATAAACGGCTTCTGTACAAACATGGCGTAAATAAGTGGCTTCTGTACACATGTGATGTAGATAAACGGGCTTCTGTACACATGTTATGTACATAAACGGCTCCTGTACAAATGTGATGTACATAAACGACTCCTGTAAACATGTGATGTACATAAGCGGCTCTTGCACACATGGGATGCACGATATATGCTTGCAGTACATAGATCAATTTTTTTCAGACTTGAAGCTTTCATAAATGTGTCTTAAGCTCCAACTAAATAATTCAAGCACAGGTAGCGGCCTGCAGCACCGCGCGTGTATCTAGGTAACGGAGCTATATACAGCTGCTGCTATTGCTGCTACTGCTGCTGTTGCTATTGCTGTTGCTGCTGCTGCTGCTGCTGCTGCTGCTGCTGCTGCTGCTGCTGCTGCTGCTGCTGCTGCTGCTGCTGCTGCTGCTGCTGCTGCTGCTGCTGCTGCTGCTGCTGCTGCTGCTGCTGCTGCTGCTGCTGCTGCTGCTGCTGCTGCTGCTGCTGCTGCTGCTGCTGCTGCTGCTGCTGCTGCTGCTGCTGCTGCTGCTGCTGCTGCTGCTGCTGCTGCTGCTGCTGCTGCTGCTGCTGCTGCTGCTGCTGCTGCTGCTGCTGCTGCTGCTGCTGCTGCTGCTGCTGCTGCTGCTGCTGCTGCTGCTGCTGCTGCTGCTGCTGCTGCTGCTGCTGCTGCTGCTGCTGCTGCTGCTGCTGCTGCTGCTGCTGCTGCTGCTGCTGCTGCTGCTGCTGCTGCTGCTGCTGCTGCTGCTGCTGCTGCTGCTGCTGCTGCTGCTGCTGCTGCTGCTGCTGCTGCTGCTGCTGCTGCTGCTGCTGCTGCTGCTGCTGCTGCTGCTGCTGCTGCTGCTGCTGCTGCTGCTGCTGCTGCTGCTGCTGCTGCTGCTGCTGCTGCTGCTGCTGCTGCTGTTGCTGCTGCTGCTGCTGTTGCTGCTATTGTTGCTGCTGTTATTGTTGCTGCTATTGCTGCTGCTGCTGTTGCTGCTGCTGCTGCTGCTGCTGCTACTGCTGCTGCTGTTATTGTTGCTGCTATTGCTGCTGCTGATGCTATTATTGCTGCTGCTGATGCTATTATTGCTTCTGCTGCTGCTGCTGCTGCTGCTATTGCTGCTGCTGTTGCTGCTGTTATTGTTGCTGCTATTGCTGCTGCTGCTGTTGCTGCTGCTGCTGCTGTTGCTGCTATTGCTGCTGCTGTTATTGTTGCTGCTATTGCTGCTGCTGATGCTATTATTGCTTCTGCTGCTGCTGATGCTATTATTGCTTCTGCTGCTGCTGATGCTATTATTGCTTCTGCTGCTGCTGATGCTATTATTGCTTCTGCTGCTGCTGTGCACCGTGAAGACAGCCAGCACAGCTGTTGTCGTCACGACAGCGTAGCGAAGTAGCAGCGTTAATTCATATCCACTGCTGTCACTACTGCTGTCATTGCATTGCTCAGATTATTTATTTATTATATGCGACCAATTTAGCTTTCAAGTTGCACTGGCGTGCATAGCAAACTCGGTAAACTTTTCTGGTCAACACTGAAAATTTTTTCTCTAATTTTCGATATTAAAAACGTGTATTCAGGAAATTTGAAATTCGTTTGAAACCTAAAAAAGTTGTCTGTGTTTTAGCACATAGTATAATTTGTAATTAATAAGTAGAAAGAGTAAGTAAATATGGCCGAATGTTGAAGCCTATTCTTTGCCTCCATATTTTTCGTTAAAGTGGCTATCAAGCAATTGATTGGTCATAACTTAAATGTGTTGATTTGAACGAAAAGTTATTTTAGATATATAATAAGATATTAATATAAGATATTTAAGATATATACATGAATATACATGAATTTTTTTATTTTTATTGATTGAGCAAGCAAGATCTTGCAGATAAGATGCGTTTCTTGATAGCCTTTATCTACAACGATGGAAAATTATCTCAAGTTTTAAAAACGAAAAAGAAATTAGCTTTGCGTTTTCAAGAACGAAGTAGAAGTTATCCTTGTGTTTCGAAGCTTTTTTTCATCTTTTCCTAAATTAACAGAAGGCCAGTTATAAATCAATAATGATATTTGGCGCGATACATGCAATTATCGCCTAATATGAGTTTAAAGTGATCAATTATATCAAGTGCATCAACATAAATTCAGTGTCGCCATAGTTCCGTTATTCAGACGCTATCTGTTCTAAAGCAAGTTGCGTGACGCAGAGAAAGTCGGGAAAGCACTCGAGTTCAACATGACAGAAAACCACGCGCGACACACATCCACTCACCACGGCCGTCCAGGCCACACTGGCGGTATGCACCTTCCCGTTCGATGGCACCGTTTTATTGATGGCACTTCCCAGTATAATTGCTTCAGTAATCAATGAATTTGCATTGATATAATCGGAGGTAATTAAGTCTTAGCATCGGAGGTAATTCAGTTTTTGGAAGTATTTCAGCTTTTCGGAGGTAATTGAGGCGTTATATCACTTTTTTTTTACTTTAAAAGGAAACTAAAATAAAATTATAACTGAAAAGTTTACAAAAAAATTATAAAATATACGTACAAAAAAAATAAATACTAAATATCTGCTAGATTATTCTGTAGAAAAATTTTATAACCTAAGCACAAGGTCAATTATTAATTCCAAGTCCTGTAATGAAACTCGTAACGACTGTCGTAGAACCTGCGCTTACACAGAGAATAACATTAAAGTTACTAATTGCTCATTAAACTGATTAGTTTGTCGTATTTACGGCATGGTCGATTCATTTGATTAGTTATTCATCAATTGAAAGTAAATTATGGTAATTATTTGAAGTTCACGTGTCGAGATATAAACATAAAAGTCATTAATTAATAATATGTTATTCGATTTATACAGACACATATAGACCGTGCCTGACGTTGAACTTTCCCTTATGAAAAATATGACAAATCGTGATTCATTGAATTTCTGATGAAGAATTTAAATAATTCATTGAAATAATATGTTTATTTTACTTGGAAGTGACCACAATAATCATTAAATGAATAATAATATAATAATTATTATTAATACATTTTCACTTCCAGTAACATTTACTCCGCAGTTTCAACGTCGGAAGAATCGTGCTAAAATGACCACATAAAATGGAATAATTACTTGTTAAGAATTATTGCGCATGTGACATCTATATTTGTTGTTTGATCTGTGTTTTGTGTGTTTATTTTTCGACGTAATGATCGATGTTTAATTTATGTATAAAACATGTGAAATTTTTATTTGATTGATTCATTTTACTGTGAATTGATGTGAAAACATATTTTATTTATTATAGATATATTGTTATTCCTACATTAAACACATTGTAATAATAATATTGACATAACTCAAATTTTTGTGAATGAAATTCTGTTCAGTGAATTCTGGGCGTAGAGCGTGCGCACTAGAATAATGTTGGAATAATGAACAAAAAAATATGTGCACAAATAAATACTTTTTAGAACTTCCCGTGGTAATTTGGTATTAGCTTAAACGATAATTACCTGGCAACGAGGGTTACCATCAGTCGTTGAAGGTTTAACCTTATGTCGACGGATACATTACCCGTCCTAAATGTTATTCGTAACAAAAGGTCATGTAACGAAGATAACCTCAGTAATCAGAGGGTTAATTCAACAAATCACACGACATATTCATCGTGCTGCTGGATCTTCAGGGTTGGACAGCTCTTATTAGCCGCCATGTTATCTCGAACCTCGCTTGCTTTCCGCAACAAATTTGGATCAACAGTTCCAGTTCTTTTTCCAGTTGGTGCTGATCCTTCGTCGCCAGAAGGGACGGGGATCGAATAGATTTTGATCGCGCTGCTGCTCGATTTAGACTTGCCTGTGACCAAGGATATACATGCAATTGGATACAACTATTTATAAGTAAATTAGCTATAATGGCCACAATATTCTTGAATTCTTATATATTAAAGGTATTTTTTTCTAGCTATGGATGATTATTTCTAGGTTCGAATTAGTTCGTTATAAATAACAAAACTGAAACAATCAATAAATTTCAACTCGTACTCTAGGCAAAATTCAATAGAGGCACGGCTGTTCGGAGTGCCTCCGAATTCCTCGACCGAATCTCGTTTAAAAAATTAACTTTCACAGAATATTCAAGCACCGTATTCACTATCCACTCATTGGTCAAAGTGGCATCATGAATGACCGAATTCAGTCCGGATAATTCGACACCGTATTCACTAAATGCTGGAAAATGGTATAATAAATTATAATTAATTCACCTTCCGCTGAAGATTGTTGCGCTGGAGATTCATCTCCCTCGAAGACGGGCGAGGTGATGCCCTTGAGGTGCTGCGCCACTAGGGACATGGTTGCGAACTCGGGACTTGCCACCTCCATCAGCGAGGTGCAGGAAGGTCGTCTGCTGGCCCCAGACTTCGGCTGAACATATCACAACATCTAACAATTAAGTGGTTGTAAACCTGTAATTTTCAATCCGTGAAAATAAATAGACACGAGAGAGGATGAGAACGGATAAAAATTACTAAGCAATTGATTCATAGGCTTTGCGAAATAGTTCCGTCTTTAGGCTTCGACGAAACACCTGCAACGAAGGAGCCGATGTTACGGAAGCCGCCAGACTGAAGCCGCCAAGCGGCAACCGGGAACGCTCTGTCGCCGACGGTAGATAGACATGTAGATGGAATGACGAGGACCGTTACGAATGACGAACGCTATCGTCTTCTAAGAGGCAGATTCGACACGCGCTGCAGACACTTCGTGAGATAAGGAGGCTTCAGACTGTGAAGGCACCGGTGCGTCAGAGCAGCGACCTTGAACTGCGTGCGCTGCTGCATGCGCAGCCATCGAAGATCGCTCAATATCGGCGTCACGTGGTCGAATTTTCGCTTCTTGCACACGAGTCGCGCAGTAGCGTTCATTACGGATTGAATTATTAACTGCCGTGTTCGTAAGTCCATAAAGTGTGGCTTACCATAGTCCAATCTGGTCAGAACGAGCGCCACCACGAAGGCCTCGAGGACTGGCCTCGAGCGACAGCGGCTAACGCTACGTATTCGTCGCAGAGTGCCAANGTCCTGAGAGGCGACGGTGTAGGGCAGCTCCTGAGGCACCACCTCGTCCCAGTACATGTCCTGAATCAGCTCCGGGTGCTCGTTGTGCATCTCGTCTACGATCAGGTACGATACCTGACACAGTAAAACGCGTTTGAAAACTGTATAATGTGCCCGGCTAGAACCGATAACCTAATAAAATGATGCTGCTACCATTTGAATATTTGCAAGTGCGATACTGGCGTTTTTTAAATGATAATGCATACGTTTTCAGGAATTAAACTTGTCAACTTAATAAAAAAATCTGAAGCAATAAATAATAAAACCCTCCATTAAAAATGTAATTGCGTCGCCGGTGATTTGAGAGCAGAGGCGATCATGGGCGTCGAGTGTACAATAGGCCGTCTTGCCATAAACTCGACCGGTTTGCGCTCGACACGTAGATGGTGTTATTGATGGGTCATAGTGAGTAGATGGTGTTATTGATTGGTCATAGTGAATCATCAGCAAAAATGTGAGTTTAAAAGACTGCCAAGAAGGAATGGGCAGTGGCCAGGAACGATCATATTTCACTTGGAAAGGTCTTGGGTAATTGAATGACTATGGATTCGGTTTCCAATTATATTAGACAGGTTTGGCATAAATTTTACAGTATAAAGATAGACTCCTCCATCTATCGACGACAAAGGTAGTACTCAAAGGTAAAAATAGTAAAATTGGTTAACTGTTTATGTCAAATCAAAGTAGCACATTGAAATCACCTGCAGGTTGCGATCGACCAGGAAGTTCATCTCAAAGTCGTCATCATCGTTGCCGAATGGGTTGATAAGAGATTCTGCCACTTTCAACCAGCCCATGTAGAATGTGAACTGAAGCGTCGTGAAGATAGGGAAGTAGAAGTCGATGGTGTTCTTTTCGTAGCCTTTGCGTGGGTCCAGGAACTGTCGTCCCATCAGATTAGTGATGAAGAAAGCGTAAACGGCCCACGTCACAACCTGCGATACAATCCATCAGATCAGGTAAGTAATAAACAACGCGTAAACCACACCAATTTTCACCACCTGTGATGCAATCCATCAGATGGGATGGATGCCTGATGCTAGCTTTCTTGAAGTACACACTTCATTTATATCTCTGTTCGTGGGCAAACGCGGAGAGAGTTGCCCATGCAGTTCAGCGCTTTCAGGCATTGGAGCCTATAGAATACACAACCACTGCTTAAGCACCCTTCACGTCTCAATATTTCAAGCCAGTTGGATTCACATCCCTAATACAATCGCAACTCGGCGCTACCTCTTCACCTACCCGACTCTCCACCCAAACCAAACCTTAGCGGACAAAACCTAAAACTCAGTGGCTGCGGCAAGGTGGAGAGGTGGGGCATTTGAGGAGGTAGAGCTGGTGATAGGTTGGAAGAAGGAGAGTCGAAGCAGTCGATGAGGTAGGGCCGAGCAGCAAGTGTATTTGGAGATGAGTTTCCTGCTGCCTTATATTATGCGAAGTTATGCAAGCTTAACCAGCTTAAGCAGCGGCGGTAGATTTGCCGCTTTCTCATTAAGTGGTCTCCGGCTTTTATATTTCCGAAGCTGAACTTAATTCTTCCATAAAGAGGCTGAGCGCTTGTTAAGGGGGCTAACTTTGTCCTTAGGTTAAATTTGTCGCCACAGCAGCGTCCCGATTTCCTAACCTGAGTGTAGACAAGCGGTATGTTGTTTCCGTAGTAGCCAAGCAAGGACCCACAGCGGCTCCTAAGTCTGGTTATCTCGTCAATGATTGTCTTCATGGCGATGTCATCCTTGATTCTGTTCTCCTTCCTCGCTCTGAACACCAAAGCTCCTGCCCAGGCCATAGGCATCCAGTATACAGAGTGCGGCGTGCGCTCTGACATGCGCGAGTAGATCTCGCGCTCGTTCTCAGTAATGAAACCTGAGTGATAGTCTTGACTTAATATATCAAAGATACACTTTTCATTGTCATTGCAAACTTTCAGTGCCGACAGGACGGTGATCACGTGTTAAGCAGTTTATGGCTAATTCTAATTTGTCTAAAATTCCAAAAAACTTAACGCAATTCAAAATTATCCTATGGTACAAGATTTTGTACGTATTCTTCATTTAGAAATTTAATGTATTTATTATATATGCACTTTCCTGATTTCGAGAAAATATTTTTAATTTGTATGTAGAAAGAATATTCCTTCCAATAATATGAAATTATTTGTCTATGATTTTTGCAGTATCTTGATCTGAGGAATGTACTCAATTTATTTGTAGAAAATATTCATCACCCTGATTATACTCGTATGATATCAACATCAGCGTTCACGTATAGATATTTTTTCACTAAAGTACCTGCATCTTCGAAGTGCGCTAGAGTGGGAAATCGATTCTTGACACCAGGCGAGATCATGGAGAAGGTAAAGGACATGGAGAAGTTGATGTAGCGAAGGATTGTTCTCCTCATCATCCTTCCTCTTTTGTCCTGTCTCGGGATAAAGGGACGGAAAAAACTAGTCTTAGGATCCTATGAAATTTACCAGGTCTATTCTCTATAACAATCATTCTGTTATTGTTCGGGTGACTTATTTCTATTATTTTCTGTCTCTTCTCTCTTTTTAGCGTATTTTCTCATTTATTGAAAAAATGCCCTATTATGCTCAGTGTGCTGGTCATGTCCGTCCGTCAGTCCGTCCGTCCGTCCGTCCTTCCGTGACTTCATGTTTTTGTCGACGAGAAAATGCGCTCTCTGTCACTCATTGCAGTGAGTACTGAATTATATTTTTAAAGTATTTTGTAGATTCTTTAAGCACACGAGTGCATTCATTTAGATTTGAATTATCTCTGTGATACTCCATGGTTTACCGTCTGCCCGTGACTTCATGTTTTCGTCGACGAGAAAATGCGCTCTCTGTCACTCATTGCAGTGAGTACTGAATTATATTTTTTACGTATTTTGTAGATTCTTCATGCACACGAGTGCATTCATTTAGATTTGAATTATCTCTGTGATACTCCATGGTTTCAACTGTGTACTCTAAAGAGCAGCACCTGGTAAGACTATGAGTAAAATTGACTTACCTGACAGAAATTTGTTCAGAAACATGAGCATCATTAATTAATAGTGAAAACATGGACAATTAAAATTCACATACATTTCCGGCAAGTGATGTAGAAACGAAGAGAGCCAGCGTATCCGGCCAGGGGAACAAGAGGTACTGATCCCACCACCGCTTCACCACGAGGGTCACGAAGAAGCCGAGCACGAACGACAGCGGGATGTACCCAGCGTGGTCGGCGCACGTCAAGGAGATCTGCTCGAACTGACTGCAAGACGTATTGGAAGTGATGTTGGGGTTTTAAATAAGTCAATTGAAATTGAATTCTATAATTTTATGTTTAGAGGAAAAACAACTTCTCGTTTACGTCCGTGTATATGAAGTGTATATTGTTTTAATAAGTATGTGGTTGGACCTAAACCTGGATTATTAAATGGTTGACTACAATGGACATTAATTAATTGCACCCTTGAAAGCCGAGAAGTTTGGTCGATGGACGACCACTTGCCATAAATATAAATAATGATGCTTGGGCCTTGTTGGCTTTGGTGTGAGCCCACAGCAGTGATGCGAACGCACAACACAAACGTGGTGAAAGTGATGTGAACACACTGCACAACCGAGGCAAAAAGTGAACCGAAAGCACAGCACAAACTTGGCAAAAGTGATGCGAAGACAATGCACAAACTTAGTGAAAATTATTCGACCACACTTTACAACTGTGGTGCAAACAATTCACAAACATGCTAAAAGTGATGCGTGCACACTTCAAAAACATGGTGGAGGTGATGAAGACACAAGAGAAGTGAGCGAAGACCTGCATGTCATGGTAACGTAGAGCGGACATATATAGAGCGTCTGATTAACGTGGTCCCCGAGTCCTAGGCGGCACCTGTTGCCGAGTCTGACCTGTACTCCGAATTTTGATAAGGTGCTCACAGAAAAGTTTTCGGTACAAAAAATCTTCCATAGTTATAATTTCCAGTGAGTTCTTGTCAATGATGAGGTTTTGAAAGAAACGACAGATTTTTACAATGAAAATTGAGTAGCTTGGCTTCAATTTTCAATTAAGCGAAGCCATCTATTAGCAGTCAAAATAAGGCTAGAGTGAATATTTTTTCAATGCTAAAACAGCAGGTGAAATGAAGAATAAACAAAAAAAAAACTTCGAACACTGTGACATTTTTGCATTAACAGCACAATCCCTTAATAAACATATTGTTACACACCATTGACATTGACTTGAAATACGTGAAAATACGATCATGCCAAGAGTGGGAAGGAATCTTACTCGATTTGAGTCAAATATCTGAGCTTCACACATTATAATGGCTTAGAATTATTTACTTGATAATGCTTATACTAAAACGTTTCTTAAAACCATAGATTATGTGCCTTCTAGATTGATGTACATCTCATGAGCTAAGTTCTCTTCGACTTCATAATATTTAGTAAGAAAATGTTTTAAACATTTGGTCGGTATAAAATGTATTCACTTTTACATTTGTTAAAAATTTGCTCTCTAATTCAAACCCAACGCTCGAACATGGTTTGTCGGTATTAACGATTTTTGGAAACTTTTTCTAATGAGAACAAACACTCAAAGAAAACCTTACTTACGTCTTGCCGTATTCATTCAAAGCAAATCGGTAGATGATCGAAAGTGCGAAGTACATTGAAAGGAAGACCAACAAATCCATCCAGATTAGTTTGTAAACACTGCCGCGCCACCTGAGGACAAGGAAAACTATGATAATCGGAGTATCATTATAGTTATAATAATCTATATAAAAGTTTTCTCAAAAGTTTAAACTAAAATTGGGTACACGCTTAAACTGAAGTTGGACACACATTTTAACTGAAAATATGGTTCATGTTTAAACTGGAATTGGGTTCACGTTTAAAATGAAATTGAGTTCACGTTTAAACTAAAATTGGGTTCACGTTTAAAATGAAATTGGGTTCACGTTTAAACTAAAATTGGGTTACTTTTAAACTGAAATTAAGTTAAACTTTAAACTGATATTAGGTTCACCTTTAAACTGAAATTATGTTCACATTTAAATTGAAATTGGCTTCACGTTTAAACTGAAAATGGGTTAACCTTTAAGACTGAAATTGGGACCACCTATAAATTGAAATTGGGTACACATTTAAAATTAAATTGGTTCACTATATATATTGAGCATTGAATTTACTTCACGATGGCGTTGATGCTTGAAGAATGAATCTCTTTAACTCGCTGGTGCAATGCTATATAACTTTGAAATTGGCACGAAACTGCTGAACGTATTAACCTAAAGAAGAGAATTTCCAAACGTCAAAACACCACGGCTCTGCAACATGGAGGTTCAGTTTGTATAAATTACATAGGTTAATAATGTATAACTTTTATGACGTGATTAACCTTATGCTGACTCATGTTTTAGCAACATACCTGAACAGTAATTTTAGGAAGCAGCCGAAGACTTTACTGCTGACAACATCCTTCGCATATGAGACTGTCATTTTATAATAATTTCTGAGAACAATTTATAAAAAAGGTGAGTAAAATAACCAAAACTGCTACGCCAGAATCTACTTCTGCTGAGAAAACATTTGCAATTGAGAATGCTCGAGATTCACAGACATTTTAAAAATATTTTCGCTTCTATGATTAATGTAAAAGTAATTAAAAATCTCACTTGAAATCTTGGTCGCACATGTAAGATGGCACAAAGTCACATCTCAATTGACGTTCCATGATCTTTCACCTATGATTCTATAAGTGCAAATTTTAAAATTTCCCACTCATATGAAGAAATTCAAGGCAGGACATATTCATCATTCTCATATATCAGCGAAACTGCATTAATAGCTTACGTAACGAAGAAATAAAATTCATAACTAGCTGTAATGCAATTAATGATTAACTTAACTGCTATTCGTTGATATTTCCACAGAATTCATAATTAACTGAACTACAAATCATAATTAGCTGTACTGTAATCCATAATTAACTTAACTGCTATTCCTTTGAAGTTTTTGCTCAATTAATGATTACCTGCACTGAAATTTATAATTAACTGCACGGTAACACATTACTTACAGCAATACAGTCCCCGCTAACAGCTTCGCAATTCATTTATTTATTATTAACTGCAGTGCAATTCATAATTAACTGACTAAAAGTCATAATTAATTGCACTATAATTCATAATTAACTGCACTACAATTCAGAATTACCTTCACTGAAATTCATGACCATACCATATTCACTGCATTTCTCTATTATCTACACAGCAATTTACCAGTAACTGCACTGTAATTCATAACTAATTACCTATCAACCCACAGATAAGTGCAATGAAATTTAAAATTAACTGCTCTGCCATTTAAAACTAAATTAACCGTATTTCATTTTTAACTGCACTACTATTAAGTATTCATAATTAACGGTATTAAAATTCAAAATTACCTGCACTGCAGTTCAAAAATAAATTCACTGTTTTTTTTAATGCACTGCACTGCGATTCACGAATAACTGAAATGCAGTTAACAATTAACTGTTATCTTGGCCGTCAAACTGGAATGCGCGCTACAGTCCTGAGTGCAGAGGCTAACCAGAGCCTCTAATTCTAGTGGCTTTGTGCGTGTACAAACGTACCACACTCTTTTTATTATTCATCTGCAAAATTTTTCTCATGAATTATTCGATGTCTCACAGTCCTGCACCCTATCAATAACGTTGAAAAGTTTGTGGAACATATGCCTTCTCTCTTCCAACATTTGGAAACCGCGTTACTGCTAACCGCCTAACAGTTTCCAACCACAGTAAGCGCCGCCAAGCTATATATAGTTAGCACGGCCCAGCTACGTTTAGCACTGCGACACACTTTCTGCATGTATTCGGGCAAAACTGGGTCAAGATGACCCACACAAGGGTAAGAAGTGTATCGCTATGTGGACAAAGTCCTTTAATTGTTTTCTGTGTGTGCTTGTCAGTTTTAGACGAGGAATGCGCTAGACAAGAGCCCCCGGCACCGCTCGTTCGGACCGACGTCGATCATCGGTTACGAATTTTCGCTGAACAAAAATACAAAACAAGAAGTTTCGTTCATACTGAGACCATGTGCCAGTATAACATGCGGTTATATTTCTATATAACACACACAATTTTCTCACGAGGCAATAAGTAAAATGATGCATAATTTAATACTTAAAATGAAACTCTACTGCATGTATCAAAAAAAGTGTCGTACTCCGAACGGGATCTTTTAGAGTTACTAAATGTAATACCGTAACGGTACTACAAATCTGGAACCTGAATCCAATATTATTAACCGGCTACACGATATCTACAGACTGTACGTTGTCCGTTGTCAATCTGGAGTCTCATTATAATTATATGTAATTAGGACGTAATATTCACTTGACCTGATCAAGATCGATGACATGAGTCAGCATCTGGAAGACATCACATGATAGATCACGCGATCAAGACCTTAGTTGTGGGCGGAAGCGAAGGCTATATAAGGGCTAGCAACCTTCAGTAAGACACCCCGCAGTAGTTGATAAGCGCTGCGCGTGTAACGCGTCGGTTGAGTTCTCAGACCTTACGGTCGACACCGTAGCTTATACCTCGATATCGTAACTCATGTATTACCACCCCGTATACCAAGATGTGTTATCTAGACAGTTGTGCCTTACTTATCCTTCACGACCTTAGTCACGTAACCCGATCCTCAGTTAGAGCTTAATAAATGAGCACGGACAATGTGGCATAGGCAGCATCGACATTTCTCAGCTTCTAAATCTTTAATTTATTCAAGTATAACTTAAAAAACTTCATATAAAAAATGAGCACGGACAATGTGGCATAGGCAGCATCGACATTTCTCAGCTTCTAAATCTTTAATTTATTCAAGTAGCTTAAATAACTTCATATAATTATTACGGTTTATTATTTATTACCCAACTCATATAACTATCCGTTCAGGCCGTTTATCATCCGAAAATTTATCGGAGATTACGTATATCAAAATACTCAGAACTAATGCATTTTTTCGAATGAGCTATTTTAAGCACGACAAAGGTAATTTATAGACTTTTTAACATCACTCATTTTGCTAAATTCAACACATATTGTCACAAAAATCACCAAGGCTGAGTTTGCAAAAAGCAGAATAGAGTTTTTTACTTGGCTGGTCCGGTTCTGTAAAATAGTTAATTCAGTGGCTCGGTTGGTGCTTTGAGCCTCTTACTTTTTTTATCATTGGTTAGAACTCTTGCATTTTAGATGAAGCGAACTTGTTGCAAGGAGGAGTTTATGCTCATTTTATGTTTGATGCAATCAAGAGTAGCAGGCACGTGCGTTATTAAAGCTGGTATTAATATTAGACTATAGTATACAATATTGTACATCATTATATTTTTAATATTAGACAGTATTTAGACAATGTTAGGCATGCCGGATGATTTTCAAATTTTAGGAGACATAATTTAAAAGACTTAAACTTGAAAAATCTGAAGAAAATATCTCAATAAGATTACGGTTACACTGAAAAATATGCTCGTATACTTTTATCTCATATACCATTTGTCATCGGATTGACCTCAAATTATAATTTTAATGTGTTTTAGGCAATTTAATAACGTTCTCCATGGAAGGGATAAATGAAGCTCCACGCCGATCATATCTCTAGGCGCTTAGCCCGGATGAATAAATATGAAGAAAAATATAATATAGAAGCACCAAATATTTCATGCCCTAGTTTCGTACCTAAATCGGCACGGAGAAATTTTTGTACCCCTCGCGGACGAACAAAAACATCATGATTGGTTTGACCTTCTGTTAGACAGTCGCGAAACGATCAGGGTCGGCAAAATGGTCGGCCACCACATGCATTGCTATTTTAAAACGAAAAAAAATAATGGAGAATTTCGCGTATGGGCATAAAAAAGCTCGTAAGTAGATCTCAAGGCCGAGATAACAGGAATTTTATAAAGAAACAAGAGTATAGACGACAGAGAATGATTATTCTGAGATTGAATTTAGAGGCATCGTAATACAATTAATTATCATGGAGCTTGATGCGCCATGATTACAACCACAAATAAAAATCGTGCAATAGTTCCAAATGAGGCCAAAAGGGAAACAACAGTTGAATTTATGTTCCATTGACAGTATTCTGACACTAGTATAAAACCATTGAATTTTTATGCAAGCACATGAAAATCTCTTTTTCGGATGTGCATCCCTTTTTTACAACACTTCTCTTTAACTTCACTTCTTGTCTGTTTGTTTGTTTGTTTGTCTGTCTGCTACAAATCTTGTAATAAAAATTTAATACACTTCTACTTATCCTATCGATCTGAAATTTTGCACACTTGTGTAAAGTTGGAGACATGGCATGAATCAAATGTCAAAATAAATGATTTTAGGTATTAAAAATAATTTTTTTTTTTCAATATTAAAAAATTGAAAAAATAACTTTGTCAGCTACAAATCTTATAACTGATATTTGACACACTTTTACCTGTCTAATTCATCTGAAATTTTGCACACTTGTGTGAAGTCAGAGGCAATGCATGAATCAATTAATAGAATAAATAATTTTGGAAAAAATGTATATATTAAAAAAATTTATATATTTAAAAATCGAAAAATTAATTTCTTCAATATTCCAAAATTAAATGAGAAATTCATTGTACATCTGTAAGATTGGAGACACTGGATTCTTTGGAAGTGTTGTCTTTAAAAAGTAATTTTTAAACGATGTATATGTGGATAATTTCTTAGATTGGTAGATTAAAGTTCACATCCATGTAGGGAAGGTAAAACATAAAAATAACTGTAACTTCTATTTACTGTATCTAAGCCTGGGGTAACCCATACTAGTTCGGTAGGTTAATTGCAATAAAGTTGCATTGATATGTTTTAAAAATGTTTTATTATCATTAAATGTTAATGAGTATATCCCAATAGCAGAACAATAAATATTTAGAGATTTCCGATAATTTTGGCCATTGTAGCGGCTAATGTAGCGCGCTACATTTTACTGTAGCGGTAGCGGTAGCGCCCGTTACAATCTAGTGGGTGTAGCGGTAGCGGTAGCGCCGCTACATTTCCAAGTAGCGCTGCCCAGCTCTGCCGACAGGAGTATCAAAGCTACAAAACTTATTTTTGCGTGAATGCTCTCCTAAGTTTTGAGAGAAATGGGCTCCTGTCAAATTTGCATTGTAATAGGATGTTTCTTATTTCTCTGAACAATAATGCTAATAACTTATACCAATAATAATGATAATAGAACTAATATTATTTGTATTAATATTAATATTGTTGATAATAATAAAAATAATAATAATAATAATAATAAAAATAATAATAATAATAATAATAATCTTAATAATAATAATAATAATAAAAGTAATTATTGGTGAATAAATTCCTAACATAGGTATTCGTGATGAAGGCACGCAGACGAACGACCATACAATATTATGTGTTTGTAACTAGGAACAGCAAAAACTATTATCTGTCTGATTTATTCATGATTTCATTACACTTCCATTTCCAATTATTCACAATTTAAAT